AGTGACACTTTTGCCGGCTGATCAGGGAAAATTCGATTTGTGCACCCGAAGTTTGCTAAAATTCGGATTCGATGCGAATCGAATTTTTCCTGAAATTCGAAACGAATTCCACTTCGCCAGGTTCGATTCGCTCATCTCTAGTTATAATAAACAATGTTCTCTAGGTTTGTTCTTCAGTTGAATTTGTATGTAAGTTGAAACAGGTACATTTGTTATGTGTATCTCCATCCAAAAAAATACTTTTTACATTTTTTGCATAGCATAGGGAAGGGTTAACACCCTTGTAATGTTTGTTTTACTGTCAGTGCCCCTGTACAGAAGATTTCACCTTTTTTTTGTCTGTGACAATTGGATTTTGAAAATGGGTTGTCGTGGAAATAAGCATTGGTGAGAAAGCTTCAGTGGAGACACCTTTTTCACATGATAACTCTTACAGGAGTGAATGTCCCTTCCTAGGCAAGGGTGGACTGACCATTCAGGTACTGAGGCACTGCCCGAGGGCCCGGGGTCAGGGGGCCCCATGAGATGCCCCTGGTACCTTTCATAGGCTTTTTTGGGTGTGGTGTGAGTGTGAGCAAAGACACAGGGGCCCCATGATCCCCTATTGCCCAGGGCCCCATAAGTTGTCAGTCCGCCCCTGTTCCTAGGGGTAGATTTGCTCTCACTTCCTGTTGTCTCCCTCCATTTGTAAGTATGAGTCATATGAAAGTCTGATGTATGTAACTTGGGGACTGCCTGCACGTGCTACACAAACAACAAGTCTACCATGCTAATACATAATAAACCTCCACTTAAAGTGTATATAAACCAAATACAAAAATGTAATATATTACAGATTACCAGTCCTTGGAATAGGTGGCTGCATTCATTTTATTTTTTAGGTTTTTTTTTCCTCTTTATTTTTACCTGGTAATCTTGTGAATAACACCTTTCCTCTTCTTTTGTGTCTACAATCATTTCTCCATTGGGAGTTATGATTATCACTCTGGCTTGACTTCAAACATGTCTGCCTTTATTCATTTACATCATATATTGGATTGATGGAATTAACAGTTTATACAAGAAACAGAAGAATGCAACAGTCAACTGCATTTTATCTTTAAAGCAATAGTAAAGGTAATTTTTTTTTGTAAATTAGCAAACATGTCTATACTTACCTGCTGTGTGTGCAGTGGTTTTGCACAGAGCAGCCTGGATCCTCCTCTTCTCGGGTCCCCCGCAGGCTCTCCTGACTCCTCCTTTCTGTTGGGTGCCCCCATAGTACGCAGTTTGCTATGGAGGTACCCGCTGCTCCGTGTGTCCATTCACACACGGAGCCGGGGCTTGGCCCCACCCCCCCCTCTCCTCATTGGCTGAATGGTGTGATTGATAGCAGTGGGATCCAATGTCGGGATCTGGTGTCTCAACCAATGAGGAGGCAGAGACCCGGGAAAGCCAAGGCTGTTGTGCACATCGCTGGATCTCGATGGGGATCAGGTAAGTATTGAGAGGGCTGGAGGCACTGCTGCACACAGAAGGTTTTTTACCTTCATGCATAGAATGCATGAAGGTAAAAAACCTTGAGCCTTTACAACCGCTTGAACTAATACTCACTACCTGTCAATTGTACACGTACCAACCCATTAAGATGGTCTTATCTAGGATCTCCTGTTCTCCTTGTGCCCTGAAACTTACAAAACTCATGTACTTTTATAAAAATAGACCTGTCTCTATTGGTTACCCAAGACTGTTGGATGTACAAAATACATAAAGAGGAACTAAACTATATCTAAGCACCACAAACTGAAAATGCTACTTGATTAATTTTAATATTCAACGCAAACCCACCCACCCACTCACACACACCCATCCACGTCTCTATGCTTTATTTTTTTATTGAAATCACTTTGAAGAACACCTCCCTAGAATTTTTAGCCTGCCCATCTTGAGTAACAGCAGATGATTTATGTGTGGGGTAGGTGCAGCATGGTGCTGCAACAGTAATCACACTGAGGCCCAAAGTGCTGAAAATGATGCATTAAAGAACTTGCAGAAAAATACACAGCCTGGAGGGGTGGAACACCCAACTGGAAACTCACAGTCAATGCAGCAAAAATTCAGCACTAGTAAACTCGAGCTGAAGAGAGCGCTTACCAAAGAAGGTGGAGTGTGTCGTGGCCGGTCCAGCCAAGAGGGCACTCGAGGAGATGAAGGCGTAGGCCCTGCTCTTTCCATACTGCTAGTGCTGTCTCCATGCCCAGACTGGGACAAAAAATAGGCCCAGGCATTTTGGGCTGAGCAGCCCAAAGCCCAGGGACCCTTTCCTTGGAGCACGGTGGCAGAACGACAGGGCCCAGTCACAAGAGCAACCTTTGCGACCCTGGTAGTTCCACCACTAGTGTCAGTAGGTTTTTATTTTTATTACATTTTTTACAATTTTATTATTTTTTTACATTATTTTTGTAGGAAAAAAAGAAGGAGGGAAAGAAAGAGAGAAAGGAAATAGGGAAAGAAGGAAGGAGAGAAAGAAGGAAAGAGGGAAATAAAGAAGGAGGGAAAGAAAGAACGAGCGAATGAAAGAAGGAAGCAGGGAAACAGGAGAGAAGACACAAGACTGGCTGGGAGTGTGGGAGGGGCAAAGAAATAAAGAAAGTGAAAAAGAAAGAAAGAAAACAGAAAGAGAGAAAGAAGAAAATGAGAGAAACGGGAGACAGAGAGAAAGAAAGGAAAAAAAGAAAGGAGAGAAACAGGAGAGAGAGAAAGAAAGAAAGAAAGAAAGAAAGAAAGGAAAAGAAAGAAAGAAAAAATTAGAGAAACAGGAGAAAGAAAGAACAGGAGAGAAACAGGAGAGAAGACACAAGACTGGCTGGGAGTGTGGGAGGGGGAAATACAGGTGGAGAGGGCAGGAGGAGGAGGGGAAGCTTTCTTTCTCCTCTGCCATCTGTGGTGGGCGGGGAATTGTCAGTACTGGGGATTGCATATACTGGCAGATCCCCCCCCCCTCGCAGTGCTCTGGGGGATGAGGGGGGGCGGCCGTGGGAAGGTATACAGGAGCCCAGGGCATGCAGCCTTCAGGAGATGCATAGGACAAGCAACTGGGTGGAACATAGAGCACGGTCCTCTACATGCTGCCCGGCCGCCTCTCCTGTCCAGGTGGCCTGGCGGTCTCTGATAGCTCTCCTTACACTAGCGACTTTGTAAATGTTCACCAAAACCTGGGGACAGGGACTTAAAAGACTATGGTTGACTCAAGATGGCTGCCAGGGTTACCTAGAAGCAGAGTAGCCAGCCAGAAGGCTGCTCCACTGGACTCAGGAAACCATAGAGAAACAAGGTTTCTTCTGCCTTCCTCTCCAGCTGCAGTACCGCTCCAGTTGAGCGTCACCTAAAGTGGAGAAAATGGAATGCACCCCCCTACATATGTATTATTTACTTACTGGAATTCATCTGCCCTTAGCTCAAGCATGCAGGCAGGAAGGTGTGCTTAGCTGAGAAAGCCTCTCTTCCAGATGAAAGTAAAAAAATGCCCATGAAGACTCATGGCATGTAGGACATCACTGGCCTAGGCCAGAAATCAGGAAGCAACTAAAGAAATGTACAGTAAAAGTTCAAAACTAGTAAATAAAAATATATTATACCTTCCTATCTTTTTTTTGGCAAACTGATGCTTAGTGATTAAGAAAAAATAAAACATTTTCTAAGTGATGTGTGGCTTGGCGGACATACAGGCAGCAATATCTGCCAATGATGTTACCGGCTTTAGCTGTACTTATCATTATCATGAAGTGTTTAATTTCTGACCAAACCTCAGAACTTGTTCATGAACAATGATGCATTGCTAAACCAACAATTACCCAACTCGTTGAAGGGAATCGCAACATTAGAATGGAAACATTAAGCCACTTGGTACAGAATTGAGCCCCAACCAATCACACCCTATTATTGACTTTGGCAGGCTGCCTCTAACCATTCTGGATAATGCACTTGTTCCTCCCACGTGCACGAAAAAGCCAGAAGGGACATGCCGCTAATAGATGGCCCAAGGGGCAAAAGGCCTAAAAACCAATTGAAGTCACAGAAATAGATATTCAATCAGATACACAATGTACTAATATTGTCTATTTTTACAGTCTTATCCAAACAAATATGGCGGCACAGTGCGTTGGGCACCAGGCTTTGGCCCAGCTGTGCTGTGCACTTTGCCATCAAATAGACGTAGTCAGGCACACCCCATTTCTACCTAGTGATGTATTTAGTTTTTTTGCTGCCCTAGGCAAGACTAAATTTGGGCACCCCCCATCTAATTTTGTCCCACCCCTTCCTGCTTAAGATCCACCCCTTCAGGACAGTACAGGAGGAGGGAAGTGTGACAGGAGGGAGGCAACTTGCCAGAGGACTATGGGGCGGGAGGGGGGCAGCGGGACAGGTGGAGGGGGCAGTGGGACAGGAAGGGGACAGTGGGACAGATGGGGGGTAACAGGAAAGGAGGGGGGCAGCGAGACAGGAAGGAGGCAGTTTGATAGTGGGGGGGGAAACAGGAAAGGAGGGGGCAGCGTGACAGTTGGGGGGTAATGGGACAGGAGAGGGACAGCATGATAGGAGGGGCAGTGGGAAAGCATCAGTCCTCCAAGTTTTTACCTGGCATTCAGTGGCTCCTCCAGATGGTGTCGGGATCTGGTTCCAGGAAGCTGAGTTTGTGTCCCATCTGCACCAGGATCTCCCCCCCAACCTCATCCTCTTCTTCCTCTTCCTCCACAGGCCCTCCACTGGCACCCCCTGACCTCACTCACCCTGCAGAGCTCACCCAGCCCTGCGGACAGTGCAGATCCTGATAGGTGCCTACCTCACAGTGGGCCCGGACCTCGATGGCTCCCTGTGCACACCATGGAACTGCCCAAAACTTTTCCCCATCTGCAGCTGGTCCCCCTACTTGGGTGTCAGCTGCCCCCCTGATGGCGGCCCTGCTGCTCACACCCACGTGTCCCTTCTGCCTGGGCCCCCCCCCCCTGTAAAATGCCACCCAAGGCAAACGCCTTGTTTGCCTTGTGGTAGTTACTACCCTGTTTCTACCTAACCTTTATAAGACTGCATAGGGAACCTGTAGCTGTCATTATCTATGCCAGCACAGAGCACTGGAGTAGTAAGTTAGGAAGAGCATTTGAAAATAAAATAAAAAAAAAAAATATGGCAGCATAAGACTATAAAGAGAAAAAGTGGTCGTATTATTTAATTGGTCATTAAAGTAATTGGTGGAGGGCAGATTTTTTTTTTTATGATCAACAAATTATGTGCAATACAGGCCTATCTATGGATAGACAGCACTATAAGGCCTTTGCTGGTTTGTCTATAGCACATCCAACGTGGTGTTTATTGTGGGAATGCCAGTTCTTGTCAAGCTTGGATAGAGCAAACTCTTCATTCTTATGGCTGCCAAACGCCATGTGTTAGTGATTAGATGGTTTCTGGCCTCTGCATGCGGAATTCTGTCTGAAATCGGTTCCGGACTGAGGAGCTTGTGTGCTGCAGAAAATGGTTTCTGGACCTTACCCAGGAGCACTCTCTCTAGGATATTCCATTGGGCACCATTTTGGAAGCTTGCTGTTTAGTCACACGCTCCAGGTTTTCAAACGATTCCCTTGCTGAATTTTAGAATATTCTAGAAAAAAATAAAAAGAACACAAAAACAGGAAAAATCCACACACTTAATTCTTTACACATCAAAACATTTAATATGCAAATTACATTCCGGAGGAACTATTCTCTTTTTCATTACGCGCTTAATTTTGTTTGTATTGAAATACTAAGGGGGGATTTTTTGACAGCTTCACTAGTTACTTTTCAATTGATGGACTGGGTTAGAGCTTGTACACAGGTGCTGGAGGCAGAGGCACAGAAAATACCACCATCAGCCTGTGTTAAATACTCACTCATAGAGATAGAGCAGATGAATGGGGCCTGAAGCTTCACTGCCCAGAGGGTGTGCAATCTGTGTTCATTTTAAGGTGTCACAGCACGAATTACATTTCAGTCTTCACTGAGTACTTGTGTTGAGCTTTTCCAATACATTTAAGTGTATAAGGGCAGTTTAGGCGTTGCTCAAGTGGTGGTCTACTTGATATAGGGGACCTTGAGTGTACCTCTGACATTGCCAAAACTCTACACATTCGGTGAATGTAATTCTACTAAAAGCCAGGACACGTCTGTCTTGCTAGCACCCAGGTCATGTGCCATGCATCTCTTGACTAGTGCTCTGGGTCTCTATGCTACTGCCGACCAGGTTTCTCTGTTATCTGTGGCTGCCCAACATGTTGCTTCTGGGCAGCCATGTTTTTTCTATACAGGCATGAGGTGGGCATAGACTGTGTATCCAGTTTGTGTACAGTATGTATGAATATAATAGTGTGTGTATGTGTGTAGCACTACCCCCTTAGGAGTTGCTGGAATATTTTCAGGCTCCTTGTTGCTCTGGACCCCTCTCTGAAAGCCTAACCCCTGCAGACACCACAGTACACTCTTAACCGGAATAAATCACCACCAAAAAGTAGATTCACACACTGTTCAGAATAAACTGGTGTTTTATAGCAAACTTCAATGTAGCTTGGTTACAGAGCATAAACAGAATTGGCATGTGCAGAGTTAGTTATTACTGTCAATGTTAAACAAGAAAAAGACAACACTTATCACAGAGTCTCAGTTTGTGTTAGTAGACATACTTTTCAGAAACTAACCCAATACCTTCAACCTGAGGTGACTTTACGGTCCCCAGTGAGCAGAGAGAACTATCAAACAGGTAGACTAGCTCACTTCGGGCCCTCAGGACCCGATGGCAGGGAGGTAACCTGAAATAAGAAAAGAGCTCTTTACTCCAAAACACCCAATGTTCTCTTAAATGCAGTGAAGAGTCTTTTGCATGCGTGATGGGGCCCAATTGGTGCACAATGAGAGGAAGTGTGAATGATGGTTCTCTGAGGAACAATGCAATAAAGAAAGGGAAGAACAGCATTCCCCCTGAAAGTAGCAATTGACTTGTGTGTAATGGCCCTTTAAAGCACTAGTCACTAGTAGATCTAAAGCAATAAGATGTTAAGCTGGCAGAAGTGTTTGTTGACACAGGGCAGACTGCAGGACTATTGGCCAACAGGAAAAGGTCTCTAATAAAGTAAATTGATGAAGGTGGTGGCAAAGCCTGTGGAATGACTGTCCTGCTATCAGCTCTGATGATAAGACTGTGTTGAGTGTGGTCAAGCAATAGCGGCTGGAGGAACTAGGCTGCAACCTATAATAACTATATGCAATGTCTGCAACTCTGTGCAGGAAAATAAAATAAAACATGGAGCTAGTGTCAGTCCGCCCTTTCCTTGGTAATGCTTGGGACTCTCTCACCTGAGGGATGGCATCTGGCGAATTCTGGTGGACTTTCTCTCTCCTCAGATTACCTTTCTGGACAATGTGGCAAGGTCAGCGATCAGCAGACTCTTCTTGCCTCTCTTCTCTCTCTTTCCATGACCTGCATTCAGCGCATTTCTCTCTCCAGATCTCACCCCTCTCACTTCCTCATATAAATATATCCACCAACACACCAGCTCCTCTAGGAAATGTAGTTCCTAACTACACTGCTCTTTAGTAAAGTCCTGTGGTTCGGCATTCAAGTTCCATGGGGCTGCTCTACAGAGTGTGAATGCCACTGTTTTGCAGGACACTGCCATCTTGTGCTCGCTTTAACATCCTGCATCAAACACTTGTAACAGGGTGTTACATGTACATACAGCATGTGTACAGAGTGTTTATGGGTATAACAGCGTGTATGTGTATTGTGTGCATTTAGTATGTCTGTGTGTTCAATGTTTGTCTGTCGGTGTGTATGCAGTGTTTTCAGTAGCAGGTACTTCTGTGCTATGCATAAGAGGCTCATGACAAAATGAATCATAGGGGGTGCTGGAGTGCATATACTACTGACTCCCGCACTGTGTATGCTACATAGATCTGACCCCTGCACTCTGTACATTACATACACTTGACCCCTGCATTAATTAAATTACATACACCTTCATTCTGTACATAACTTTATTCTGACCCCTGCACTCTGAATATAGGCTCAAGTTTAAGTTTCTCCCACTGTGCAGTTTTGCAACACCCACAACTTGCTACAATGTGCTGCATGTGCCCCCTCATATTTTTCCTTAACATGCCCTGGAATGCCTTTAAGTCTTGTAATTTGGGACTGCCATAGACTGTGAACACACTATAGGATTTGCTGCAGACTGGAGACTTGCTTCAGATGTTAGTCATAGACTGAGGATAATATGAGACTGCTAAAGATCAATGCTATTACAGCTTCTTTGCAAATCAATTCTTGCACATGTGTTCTGCCTAAAGTCCCCTTTAAAATTATTAGTGCCACATTTGATATTATTCCCAAAAAGATCTATTATAAAGATGAAAGATTTTTTTTTCTTCTGAACTTGGGCCTTCCTACATCCTTAAACTCTGGGATCTCTGGCACGGGCCAATTTACTCCCATTATGGTAGAGTTTATGCTAGACATGATCCTCTGCAACCTTTTGAATTATGTTTCTCCATGTATGTTCATACATCTTTGTAGGACTACCCCAAGGACCCAGCATTCTGATCTTCTGTGTACTTGGAATGCTTAAGTGAAAGTATGTTTAATTTCTATTTTTTTTTTTGTATCATATTTTGTACTTGATATATTTTTTCTTTTTGTAAACATTTCATAAAACACTAATAAAGATGGAATACAAAAAAAAAGATGAGAGAAAAAAAATGAGAAGGGATGGACAGGACAGAAAAAAAGTAAGTGTAAAAAATCCAAACCTTTTAACCACCAGAATCCAGTATAAAGAAAATATTTTCTTCACTTACGTAAGCACCAAAATGCAGAATACTGTCTGTAGAGACCCTGATGGCCATATATAAGTGCCAAAAGACCTCTGGACCACCATGGGCCACCAAGGAACTAATGGCTACTGAGTGACTGTAAGGTCTTTCCAACATAATACACTAATTTGATGTTTGCACTTGAAGTAGCAGTGCTTTCCTCCGTCACTTGATATTTTAATAAAGGATATTTCGAGGAATCTACATGAGCCAACATTTCTTTCAGACTGTTTGGATGTCACCTAAAGATGAGGATTCCATGTCGGTGTGAGTGAGATTAACATCTAATCTACAGGTTTGGAAAAATCAAGTTTGTAAATGGATAGAAAACTTGCTAAAAGACTGTATTCATAGAGTAGCGGTTAATGTTTCATACTCTGAATGGTCTAGGGTTGTTATTGGTGTACCCCAAAGTTCAGTATTGGGACCCTTACTTTTTAATTGTGTAGCACCCTCCTAGTTAGGTACTAGGATGTTAAGCTTAGCTGTGATTCTCTGCTTACCAGAGAGGCTGTCAGGTAAATTAATTGTGGCATTCTGCTTAACAGAGTGATGTGATTGATTAATAGGTAGGTCTGCTCATGCTGCTGTGGTGCTGTTGGAGAGTGTCTGAGTTCTGCCCGCCTTCAGGAAGCTATGAGAGCCTTCCAGAACATGGGTAGGGGCTAGGCAAAGGAACAACATGAATATGGATGCAGCCCTGGCCAATTGCAGGGAAGGCAGTCCCATTGCATGCTGGGAGTGGTATTTATATTCTGAAAGCACATGGGTTCAGTGTCTTTCCTGGGAGTGGATTGCACCAGCCAGTCTGGAGGCAGGCTGCTTCGCCTACCAACTGCTGTCATGTGGCCTCAGGTGGGTTGACCTGAGGGCCTGAAGCTAGAGAGAGAGAGACCCTGATCTTGCAGGAAGCTATGGGGAGTTGTCTGCCAAGGCTCTGTCTGGTATCACTGGAAGATTGGAAGGAGGCAGCCATTCTATCCTTGGGACTTGTGAGTACTGACATTGAGGAACTTGGGGACGCTGTGTGCTTGCTACCTGCCCTGGGGTTGATAGTCAGCATGGGTCTGGAAATAGGGAACACTGGCTAGCATTCCAAAAAGATTGTCCAAGTGCTACTACTGCAAAGGACTTTACCTAGCTATGTTACCTTTGGGCTGTCGCAGTCGTAACTGGC